CACTCCACGAGCTCGTGGACTGCATTTGCGAAGCTCTTCCCTTACTCGTGGTTACGAAAAGGTTGAGCACAGGTGCCGGGTTGGCGAGACTAGGAAGAGTGTCTTCATACCCATAGGCCCCAAAGTAGTTCCTTTTTGGGATTACCTAATAGGGTTCTAAATATGAACCCCAAAAAGGAACTACTTTAGGGCCTTAGGGTAGAGGCAGTTGCTGTGACGAGTGTCTTGCGAGTGCCAGGCCGCGAAGCTCCCCGGTGCCGTTGACTGACGTGCAAGTTTCTCAAAAGCTCCGGCTCTCTCTTTGGGGTGGTGCCCCCCCTCACTTCTAGAATTTACAACACCTGAGTCTACATTTGGGGATGTTACGTGACCGGCATTTTGAGAAATGTGCGGTTTGGCCGCGGATTGCTTTTAAGCAGGTTTCACTCTTCAATCTGGTCTTTCAAGTACCTGCTGCGCAGGTTATTTATCGGACCTACGAACGAACCGAATCAGAGGCCAAGTTGCGGGGCGTTGAGACCCACCCGATCGACAGCAGCACTCAAACTTGCATCTCGGGTATTCGTGCACAACCGTCGTCGTCATGAAACTAGTCAACATCCGAAAGTCCCAGTACAACTCCGAAAAAGAGGGCTAGCGACTCCCGATGATTCGATAGCAGAGTATACATCCGATGATTGATGCTTCCGCACACGTAGGAAGCCTTGGGTGGAGGCACTTCAGAAGCTGGTTGTTGCAATCGGTTGTGTTGGTGTTGTATGCGTGTGGCACCCCGTGTTTGGCTAAGGCTAGTTTTTGCTACAAGTCACGACTGTTGTGCGTAGAAGTGTGTTATATCTTGTGTTTTGGCCATCATCATGATCTCCTGTCTGATCCTTGTTGCGCATTGTTTCGTGTGTGTGGACAGCCCGAGCGGCCCTTAAATGTCTGTGCATCAGGACAAAGAGGATGCCTGTGGTGCTAGTTGCGTGCTGGACGTACAATGCCGGACAGCGGCATGCGTTACATTTTCAGGGGTTCAGGATCTAGTTAGGGTTTGGAGCTATTAGGAGTGTAGCATAAAGACACCGCTTCGTGTTGAACTTCTTCGGTGCAGTGTGAATTGCCTCCACCAGCAGTGGCCATCAGCCCCAAGAGCGGTGTCCAGCAAATGCAGGCTGACAAATCTCACCCAAGTTTCCGGTCCGGCCAGTTTGTGCTCACACGGACGATTGTCTGCATTTGTGGCCACTCGCGTGTGGCATTGGTGCGTGAAGCACCAAACCATGTACGCTTATCTGCGTGCTGCACCATGTGGGTGGGGCTAGCTACAACATAATGTTGTTGCAACTTCTTGTCATCTGTGCACCCAGAATGCCATTGCAACAAAGTCTAAAAGGCACACTTTTATGCACGCATGTGTTTATTCATACAGATAGATAGTATTTCATCAATAGCATTTGAGCATGACTCGATCTACTCCCACAGTTCCCGTTGCTCCGCCCTTTGTGATCCCGTTGCAGTCGAACAGTGCCGGAGTTGGAATTCGACTCCACACGACTGTTCGACAATGCTCTCAGGGATATCTCGACAACACGTTCGTGCTTTAAAAAAAGTATCTCCTTCACGTCGCCGCACCCCGAAACCCTATTACCGTCCCGGTCTGTCCTGACCCGTTAGACCACGAAGCCCTCTTGGGCAACAAAGGGTACTGGAAGTATATACTACATATATGGCAGTTTCCGAAAACACGGGACCCTAATATGGTACCCTACCAATCCTTATTAGAAGGACCCCAAGATAACATATCCCCGAATTTCGGAAACTGCCATATATGGAGGTGGACATGTTGGAGCAGCGTGCCGCCGAGAGAGAGCGGGCGTTGCAGCAGGAGGCGCGTTTGGGGACTCCGTGGTCAACAATACAGAAGCCTGAATACTGAAGGTGCCTCAATAATTGTGAATACTGTACTGTTTTGGGGGTTCCTTATTGTGAATGTAGTATATTGGGCCCCGAAACCCAATTCTAACTACTAAGCCCCCTATATTATTATTATGTAGTAGTACTGCTTCCTAAGATTAGGGTTCTCGAAGTTGGGCTAGTTGTAAGAGCACCAAGACCCGACTCACAGTTATAAGGGCTTTGGTGTTCAGGGTTTCGGGCTTAGTGCAGGCTTTCAGGCTTGTCGAGGTTTCGTGTTCTGGCTGTTTTGGAGAGGTGGGCTGCGCCTCGAAGAACACGGTTCAGGGTTTAAGATTTGATCGGAGAGTTCACGGCGTATCACGGCGCCGGGCAGCATAAGCAGTATCCCAACATCCTGGTGTAGTTCAGTTTCGTACGTCGTATGCTACACTCAACTTGCAGGTTTCGTGGAAGGGACACTAGAGCATGCTGCGTAGGAAAGCTTAAGTAAGCATGCTCCTAGTAACACTATTGACTGCTATTCGATTTCTTTCTCAACTTGCAGGTGGAGAGCCTGAAAAAGCAGAAGGACAGCCAGGCCTTGATGCAGGGAGCTCCGGTCGTGTCTATTCAGTGCAGCAGCAAGCGAGCTCCGGGCAGCCTTACTGCTAAGGGGCCTTGATAGTTCGAAGTCGAATGTACGCTCTAACTTACCCATAGGCCCCAAAGTAATTAGTTCCTTTTTGGGACTACCTTATAGGATTCTATATATGAACCCCGCAAAAGGAACTACTTTGGGGCCTAAGGGTAACCCTACACCTAAATTTCGGTAGAGGTTACCTTGGTGCCCCGGAGAGGCGCAAGTCAAGGGCCGAAAAAGGAGACGAAGCATGCGACAGGAAATATAGGCGCCTTTATAATTCAATAGTGTGTTGGGGTATATATCCCCAAATTTTGAAGGCCCCTACATTAAATCTGCCAAAAGAAGCCCAGAAGCAAGAACTCCTAACCACTAAAGCCATGGACATGAGGCCAAAGAAGCCCATAAGCCAACACCTCCTGCGGAAAAGGTGACGTCTCTGCGATCGCAGCTGGACTTCCAAACTTCAGAAGTTCGACATACAGCAGAACAAGAGGCCATTCTGCGCTGTGAGATGCATTAGATGATATATGTAGATATATGTAGAGTCGTAATCAAACACATCACATAATTCTGAAATAGATAAATAACTATAAATATATATGTATATGTAAATATCTACAAATACATATATAACTATGTATATCTGTGTGTGCATGCGCTTGCATGAGTGCAGTGCACACATGCACGCGCACACACGCACACGCGAGCAAACACACGTACATCCGTCCATCCTGTCTTTTTGGCATGCATGCCTCCATCCATGCTTCTGCTATTTCGTGTATGTGTCTGCACACAGAAAGGTTCAGCTTTGCATGGCGTAAGGCAGAAATCCTAAGCCTCATGCTGAAAGCCTCAGCCTGAGTGAGCCCGGATAGAGAATCCGACAACTACGTCGCAGTGTAAGATGCTCCTTGTTAAACTCACTGATCGAAGCAAGATCAAGCACCAGAGAGTAAACCTAAATGTGAAGCCCTACAGACCGTGAAGCCAGCCCAAACTACATCGATCAATCGAGTGCGTCTGCGAGGTGACGCTGATGAAGCAAGAGTTCGAGCGCCGGGAGCGGTCCCTCGTGCAGATGCTTGAGCAGGTCGAACTGCGATTCTTACGGCTCTCTTCCGGTGGTTTTCATCTATGCAGCAGTGGCTCTAAAGCCTCGGCGGTTTGGGTCATATAGGGGCTATTAAGCATTACCACACTACTGTAGTTTGGGGGCTCCTCATGATAATTAGAGTGTCATATACTCCAAAGCCCTATTCTAATTATCAAGGCCCCTATAGTAAACCCCCGTAACCCCCGTTAGAGCAATCCTAATAGGGCCCTATTTAAGAACCCTGTAAAGGAACCCTATTCTAACTATTAAGGCCCCTAGATGAAATTCATCAGGCTTTCGCCTGGCTGGAGACCAGGAGCAGCTTTTAAGAGCTGCGAACCCAGAGACTCCAATGGAATAGACACGTACTAATATGTAGTAGGAAGAGTCCTTAATTCAGGGATATTGGACCGGGAACAATACATGTACTAATATATAGTAGGAAGAGTCCTTAATGAAGGGATATTGGAGTCTCTGCGACCATCGTCGCAGGCTCGTCTTGGGCAAGAGGAGGAGCAAAGAACAGCAGACATGCAGATGGCCCGAAGCCCAGTACTGCCAAGCCCAGCTGACGGTTGAAGTTGAGGTCTGGATGTTTTCGGCTGGGCCACAAGCAAGACAAGTCTGAAGCTTTGCCCACTAACCTGCCAGAACATTAGGTGATATTAGGTGGCTTTGTCGGGGGTGCCCAAGCCAACTGTTTAGTTTTTTTCATGCGCATCACAGGTGACATGGGCCCGATCGAAGTCCCGACCCGAATTGAGGGCCTTATGAAGCTGATGGAGGAGCTAGTAGAAACCCTCTGACAAGACATCCCTGATTGAAGACATCCCATAAAGTAGAGACCTCAATATGATAGGCTGCAAGTATGCATGCATGAACGGTAGACGGGGTACGTGTATGTGGCAGTGTATGTTGTACGCACAGTGCGTCTCTGCATGTCTGTGCATGTGTGTGTGTGTCATGTATGTGTAAGTACGTGTATCTACGAGTGTTTATGTAGGACTTTGTCAATGTTCCTTTATGTATGTATGGATGTATGTATGTATGTATGTGTGTATATACATATATACATTGGTGCGCATGTGTGTATGTATGTGTATGCATGTGCGCATATAAGTTAGTATGTAATAGTGTATGCATGCTACAACGCTTTTGAATCTCCGTCCTACTTGTCGAACTTGCTGTTCTTTGCTATGCATTTTCCTGCGATTGTAGTTGCTTGCATTTTCGCTCAGGTTTCTGCTTCTTGTGACTGCACATCCGGCTGTATCCGAACATGATGGATGCAAGCCCACTTTGGCTCAAGTGTATTAGCTGTCTCAAAGTTTACAACCTCAGCATCAAGGCGGTGGTGTGCCCATTCCAGTTCACTTCAGTGTCATGCTTGTCCTCCGCTTGTTGCTCGTTGCCTCACTGGCCCTTTCAGCCACGGGGAAGCGGGTCGTCGATCAGGAGAAGATGCAGACCACGACGCAGACCACCACGACGAACACGCCTGGCATGGCTCCGACGAACGTGACCGCCGATCCTTTGGCACCTTTGTTCCTCCAGACAGAAGGCTTGCTTGCGTCCCCGGCCAATGGTTGTGCCTTGCACGGCTGGCACGGGGAGTACAACACCGTTACGGGCGCTGCGGCGATTACGGTGGACGTGTACCCGCGCAGCACAACCTTCAAGTTTAGCAGCGCGCGGTTCGAGACGAGCAAGGCCAAGGACCCCGAAATGCTCAACAGACTCAACAAGATGGACGGCCAGGTTCGAACAGAGAAAAACGGCGATGTGGTGTTCACACACAAGACTTCTGAGCTCGCTGAGAAATTCTGCTCGGCACCCTCGATGTACGGCGCCGCTTTTGGGGAGCTTTGCGATTTCTTCTCACCAGGCCACATCCAGAAGTTTTGCACCAAACAGGCTGGCAAGAAGATCGGAGCGGTGGCCAAGATGCCTTTCACCGCAGCCCACGCCGGATACACATCCGTCAAGAACTACCTGTTTGGATCCAAATGATTGGCCAGTGCAGCCGCCCTCGCACGAGCGGCAAGGCAACACATACATGCGGAGCTAGTTGCGACGCTGGGAGAAAAGACTTCGGCCTTGGGTGCAGTTGTGAGTGTAGTGAGACCAGTCATGGTGACGCTTTCTTTGCCTTGTGCCAGTGTGAGGGTCAAGAAAACGCCACGGCCCAATCATTAGTGCCTCAAGTGATGTATAGCAGAGTCCAGACGATTACTAAATGTCTGGAGCAGCTACAAAGCAGCCCGCATTTTGGGATTTCCCTCCAGTTCAGGGTGCGAAAGGGTTCAGGGTTCAGGGTCCCGTTAGGAGCCTCAGCAAATCCGGAAATTCCAGGCACCACTAAGTACACAAAATGAAGCGATCCCGAAAAGCACCAAAACCTTGTATCCTGTCCTTAGGCACAGCTGTCAGTGACGTTCTGGTTTCCCGTTGCGAAAGCATCGGGACGGTGCAGTAGTGTGAACGCGCACCGTCCTTTTAGGAGGTTGACCTGACATCTCATAAAGGGGCCTTCATCATTAGCTCTACTGCTCCCTTTCTACAAGTATAATGTACCCCAAAACCCTTTTCTAATTATCAAGGCCCCCTATATAGTAGGACTAGCAGCGCAGTCCTGAAGCTCCAGGCCCTGAAGGCGGTCTTCGTCTTGTCTTTGTGAGCGTTTTGTCTGGGATCCGAAAATGCTTTACGCTGTCCCTCGGGAAACGGCCCCGGGAAGGCTGCAGCTCGCATGATTCTGGCCGCAGCCTGTTTTCTCTTAGAGGCGGCTCGACGATTTGCGAGTCAGGAGCAAGAAAGCTTCACGAAGCTTGAACCGTCTGTTGTGTGCTTGAGTGCCGAGGCCTTGAAACTGAAGAGGCAAGAGGAGCTCCTCCAAGCGTCCGAAGCGAAGGTGGCAGTTTTCTTGGAGCTTTTATGTCAGGTCAAAATGCGTGGAAAGGCAACTTTAGCTTGCTTGAGCTCATCTCTAGTTACGCTGAGGCCGTCAGAATCGCATTGCGTAGATTTCTTCCATTGTAGCCTGCAGTCGGGCATCATCTTGCTAGAACAAAGTGCGAGCATCAGCAGCGGCCTGATCCGTCTTGTGATCAACGCAAAAGTAGGTACATGTCAGGGTTCCCCCCACGGAGAGAGGGAGAGAGGGAGGAGAAGAGAGAGAGGGAGCGAGGGAGGAGAAGAGAGAGAGGGGGAGAGAGGCAGAGAGGGAGAGAGGGGTGTATTCTAATTGCCTGAGGATACAGGTTCAGTTCCAGGAAAGTGAAGGCTTCTGCAGGGGTTTCTTCAGTTTGCAATCGGAAAGAATGGTCAGGTGATGGCAAGAAACAGCATTTGCCTTTCTCGTTCTGCCTGTCTCCAGTTTTTCCCACAACCATGCTCATTCTGATGTGGATTGAACGGTTCCTTCTTCACGTCGGCACGGCAGCAGGTATCGTCGCTGGAGGAAAGTGCGAAGCGCCAAGAGGAGCGGTTGTGCCAATGGTGACGATGTCGGTGCTGCCTTCGCGAGCCAGCATGACAGCTTCGGGGCGTCTCAGGAGGGGTTTCGGACCTTGGAGTTTGTAACGGATGTAGTTTTGAGACCATCTCGAACCTCAAAGCCCAAATCTGGGTCAGGGGGTGGGCTCGGTAGCCAGCAGAGCGCCCATGCCCATGACGGAGTTGAGGGCATGCAAAGAGTTCCTCACGGAACCCAACCTGGTAGGAGCGGTCAAGCTTGCACGGCCAGCTCCAGCACAGTGGATGAACCGTTCCGTGTTGCAGTGTAGTGCACATGCAGTTTGCTGCCTGGCGAATTGCCGTCTCAAGCAAGCTGGCTAGAACTTACATGCGGGCCCAGACAAAGCTTCAGTCAGCCATGGACGCTTCAATAGTCGGGAGTTGGCTGCGCATGTCGCGGATTGAGAGTCTCCTCCTGGCATGCGCGGTTTTTTGCAGCAGCTTGGCCTTGGCCTTGCAAAGATTCTTCCCGAATGCAAGTAAGACCTGTCGCCTTCTTGTACTCGGTGCCTTGGCCGTGCCTCTAAATTCAGGCTGGTGCCTTGATCCAGGTATTCGTGGAGGCGTCCTCGTTTTGTCCTGGAGCATCTATGCCTTCCAGAGCTGGCTGTTCAGTAATCTGGATCGTGAGTGCAACCAACGTCGTGCATTGGCAGCACTGGCCTTGCAATGGCACCAACTTCCTTTGCAGTCGATCCGGCCCAGAAGCCGCATGAAGCTTTGCAGGCTCTACGGCTTTGCTATGGTTTGTGCAGTTGCTCTTTGGCTGGTTCCGGAGCATCTGGGGCTGTGTCTAGCCTTTGAGCTTGATGGTGACGGTGGTGTCATGAATTGGGAAGCAGTGTGGGCTTGGCTCGTACTGCTTCGGTGGGGCTCAAGCGGTGTCTTCATCTTCCTTGCTGATGAAATGGGCGTGCATTTGGCAGTAGCTCTGGGCCGAGCGCGACGCCATCTGTTGAGGCACCTAGCCTTAGTTGCTCGTCAAAGGCTTCCGGTTGGCCTCTCCCCATGGCCCATGGAGATGGCAACTTGTCCGGTATGTTTCACAGAGCTGCCATTGGGCTTCTTTCCTGTGCTCCACGACCACGCAGAGGGGGCAGATGGCCAAAACCTTTGCGAAGACTGCCTCCGAAGCCATCTTCTTGCTCGTCTGGGTGATGGCTTCCCGCTCACTTGCCCAGTTGTTGGTTGCGGTCGATTGCTGCAGGAGGACTTGACCCACGTCTTCAAGCTATACCCCGTCGAGCTTTGGGGCATTCGTGGCGCGCAGCTTCGGCACAGTCTCAATTCGGAGACTAACATCTTGTGGTGCGACTGTGGCCAAGCTGTTGTTGGGCTGGAATGCACAGAGCGGCAGGAGTGTGGCATGCAGACGGGGTCGTTTTGGCAAGCTGCAAGTGCTTGGTGGCACTCTTCAGCATCGGAAATACCTGAAGGTAAGTTCCACATGGGCAGAAGGTACACGTGCAAGAGTTGTCACGTGGACAACTGCAGGCTTTGTGGTGCAAGATGGTCAACTCTCGGGTACAGCCATACGAACCTTTCCTGTGAGCAGTACAGGCAGGGTTTGAATGTGATCACCGGGCCGGACGGAAGTGCAGATCCATTCGGTGGTGGAGTGAGGAAGTGTCCAAACTGCCACGTGCCAATTTTGAAGAATGGTGGCTGCTCGCACATGACTTGCACCCGTTGCCGGCACGAGTTTTGCTGGCAATGCGGTGGCGCATGGTCAGGAAATCACCTTTGGAGCGCCTGCGTATCAACACGTTGGTGGGAAGCGGATGGTAGCAGTTCCATCCTCATCCCAACAGTAGACTCCAGAGAGCTCCGACATCATATGTGGAGTTGCATTTTTTGAAGGTTGACGCTCCTGGCGATAGAACGACCGCCGCCTTGAGCAAGTAAACAGACGGCAGCCTGCTCGAGAAATTCAGGGTCTGGATCATCCCTATATCATTTGGTTTGGTTAGTGTTTCGCTTTGGCCCTGATGGGTGCTGTCGCCTTGTACTTCATTTGGTCTACCGAGTGCACGCGGCCATGTGAGTTCCAGCCCTAGCGCTTCAGAAGTCAAGAGAAAAAGAAAGAGACCCACAAATCTGAAGAAGTTTGTTCGCAGGAGCTGTACGAGAGGCATGTCGGCCAGATGACTCAGCAAATCCGGACCATTCAGGCACGCTGGAGACTCGTCATAGGTTTCTTTCGCAGATGTGGAGGTTGACGGGTCCTACTTGAGTCTTCAGCGCTCTAACTTAATGGCTGCTCTGACTCCCTGCATGCTGGCGGGCAGAATATGGCACTTTCCAGGAAATGCGATTCTGCTCGGTAAAGGCTTGCGACGTTACAATGTTCTGTTCTTGTGGGGACTTGTAGCGGACAAGGCACGCCAAAACAGCAATGCGATTTTGGAGGGAGGAGAGAGACAGAGAGAGAGAGAGAGAGAGAGATAAGTTGCACGTGAAACCGTGCGCCCCGCCAACCAACGGGCTGCTCCCGCGGGGGCATGCCCTCAAGCCTGGGGAAAGAAAGAGAGGTTGCCATGGTGTCAGGAGAGCTTCCGCAAGCAGCTGGAGGTGGCGCAAGCCGAGAACGACGAGCAGCTGCAGGCCACACGAATAACGACTAAAGGGCTCTGCCCCCCTTCCGGTCCCATTGCTTCCAATGTGCAAGTTGTAACACACAAGCTCTCTCCCTCCCTCTCTCTCTCTCTCTTTCTCTCTCCATGTCTTTCTTTCGTTCTTTCTGTGTTTATAGTGTTCGTTCTCTCGCTCTACCTCTCGCTCTCGCTCTCTCCCTCCCCCTCTCTCTCTCTCTCTCTCTCTCTCTCTCGCGCATGGCTCCTTTGGTCTTCAACCCCAGTATCTCAGTCTTGAGTCTTGAGCTCCCAGTGTCGCAGGCTGCCGTGGCCAAGCTGGCAGAAGTTGATCCTTGGCTTGCGCTAGGGAGTTGATGTTCTTCGATCAGTCCACAGTTGTGCAACCTTGAAGCCACAGTATCCGCTTCAGTCCCTCCCACAAAAGCAGTTGGAGCTTGAGAATCAGGCTTCACGCAGGACTCGAAAGGACAGACTCACATCGTTTCCGTGGGTGCCGGCCGGTCCACCTCCAGAAATCGACCTCGGAGTTCCCTTCCTTGGTTAATCCCTAACCGTAGCCCTTCGACCCCTAATCAAAAGGGCGAAGACCTAAAACTCCTACACGTAAGTCTCATCACCTTCCCAAACCGTAGGCCCTGCCTTCATTTCCTCAAACCCGGTTCTTGTCTCCGCCCAGGAGAAGAACACCAAGGCCGAGAGGGAGCAGGTAAGAGCAGAGCACGATCAGGAGCTCGGAAATGGAAGCCATGAGGATTTAAATGATCTTTCAGGGGCTTGTTTCACGGCACTGCAAGGGTGTCAAAGGGTTTCAGGAAGAGTGCTGTAGAGGATCTATTGGGCTCTTGTTAAGGACTCAATTTACTCTCATAGCGGGCCATATAGTCATGGAGTATAATGGTTAGTCGTCTTTCCTTATCATGGCAACGAGCAGTAAGTTCTGAAGTTCTTTAGATAAGGACCCACGGCGCGAGAGGCTGGCTAATCTACGCCAAAAAAAAATAATCTGCAAAGGGACATTGGGATCTCCTGGTCTCCTGACCGCCTCAAAGATGTCCTTACAGAACCCTTATGGAACACGTCCGATGTCGACTGGGTTCTGACTGACTAGACGCGTTCTAGAGTTCAGTGTGGAGCTGTGGGGCATGGTTCCAACCATGGCGAATGTCTGCAGGAGAAGGAAGAGCAAGCAGCCAAACTGGCGCAGGCATTTGACAGAGAGTTGGAGCTTGACGACCCTTCCACGTGGATCCTTTGAGTTGGAGTCTCTAGCCAGGCAGATGAGTTGATCGACAAAGTCGCGGGATTGACCCGTGAGATCGAGGAGCTCCGAAAGCAGCTCCTGCAGGCGCAAAGACCCCGTTGGCACTTCGACACGCTGTGTGGAAGTAACTCCTTGCTTTTAGACTTTGTTTGGCTGTATACCAGGCCCGGATGAAGCTCCTTGACAGGCCGGAGCTATCGCTTGGATGCTTGTGAGCCCTTCGGACTCTTGGGAGCCAGAGCAGCTTTTGCCATGGCAGATGGCAGGCCAGTGGTCGCGGCCCAACCTCGTCTTGGTGCTCCTCAGCCCAAGGCCGAAAAGCTTTGAGGACACGTCGTCTTGCCTGCAGATGCCTGTGAGCCGATGTCAGGGGAGGCGCAGATTGGAGACGGATCCGCAGGACTGGCAATTCCATGTTGCGTAACACCGTCCAGAGGAATCATGCATCAAGAAAGCAGCATCATGATTGGTGGCACAGTGCCAAATGTCAAGGGGGAATTTTCAATTTAAGACACCAGGCTGCAGCTGTTGCCCGGCGCAAGTCGGTGCGGATGTCCTTGTTGCCGCCCAATCTGCTCGAAAAGAGAAGCGAGAAGGAGCTTCGACGATTCAGCGCTTGTCGGTTTTGGTCTCGAATCGTCACGGGGAGCTTATCTTGTTTCAGAACTGTGAGGAGCTTTCCCGCGAAGTTGCAAGAAGTAGGCGCGTGGGTCTGTGCCCGCGAACCTTTGACAAGTCTGCTTGGGATTCGCGTCTGCAGGCCACAGACGGATCGCAGGGCAACGCTGGCGGTGAATCGAGGTGAGAATATTGCCGATTTGGCAGAAGCTGGGCCTAATTACACGAGTCGCTGGATCACGAAAGAACCCAGAGCCCGAAAGAATTCATTGGGCCATCGTCGGTTCCGTTTTTTATTGTTGCTGCCAAGTGTCTTGCTCTCTCAGGATTTCGAGGAGCACCTCCGAATGAGCAGCTGGCTAAGTACCGTCGCGACATGGTTCAGCTGCTTGACGCGTTGTTACAGCTCCTAAGGAGTTCGCTGCAGTGTCCGTCCTGTTGCAGCAGCAGCAGCCCGGGCTTCAGTGTTGGTTCGATGCTCGCAGTCAGAAGGTTGGGAATTAATCGGAGTCCTCCTCCGAAGAATGAATGCACATATGAAGCGAGCTACATGCGCGGTGATCCTCCTGAGTAGGAGTTGCTGGCTGCAACGACACCTCAATGGACGATTTCCAACATGAGTTTTACGCGTTTTACTTGTCAGCAGCTTGTGGCCATGACTGATTTCCATGTCGAGGTTCCCAGCAAAGCGCGGCTCTTGCGGCCCACCTTGCAAGAGCATGGCCAGCAGCTGGCCTTAGTTGTCGTGGCGCGTTGTAGAATATTTTGGCGTTGGCTGAAAGGGATGAGTAGTTCAAACAACACACGAATCAAAGGAAGATTCGCATGAGCTGGTCAGGGAGGGCCGCACAAAACACAACACATGCACATCCAGTTTGTGAAAGAGGCCCAGTTCGCGAAATAGGCCCCGTCGCAGAATCAACTTCGCACACAGCGCCCTAAACCCTAAACCGGAACTTCAAGACGGAAAACAGCCTTCAAAAAGAACACCGCAACTTCACAGTGTCCCTCTCTTCGGCTGAGGACCAACACGGGCGATGTTGCGCTTTGGAGGAGAATCGAGCGAGCAGGCTGGTTCTGGAGGTCTAGAGAGTCCAGTCTACACACAAAGTATAATATTATATATATATATATATATGTATATATATACATATAGTTTTTATTCATATATGTTTTGTATATAACTATAAAACGTAACATAAGACATGTCATGTGTAACATACCATATGTAACGTCTCACACCTGCTGCAAAAGGGCCACTGCGAAGTTTCGGGTCATGCAAGAGGTGACACTGGCGTGCCCACGCTGAAGCCTTCCGATGGTGCCGTTACAGCACCTTGGAGTAGTTGATGCCACAGTCGCACCCATTCAGACCGTCGTTCGACGCTTGCCAGACTTGTCCGGTTTGAGCATCAAGCCGGTAAGACCTTCAACTTGCCTGGACGCTTTAAGGGTTCCGTAGCCCTGAAGCTAAAGCGTCCGGATGGAAGAGATGCTTAGGCAAGTTTGTGTTGCTCATGAATGAAGCACTGAGCAACTCGCCGCACAGAGGCCGCTGCTAGTCAAGCCGGAACAGCAACGGAGTTTTCATCACCCCTCCGGCAGCCCTGGCCCCAATACAAATACAGCACAACGACTACTTACGCCAATAAAGACTCGTAAGCCAAAATTGCTGCTCATGTTTCATGGCCAAAGCTCGTACCAACCCAGGCTTTCCCGATCACTGCAGGTCCTGTGCTTCCGTGAAGCGCTGAAGGAGGATACTCACGAGATCTTGGCGGTGGGCTGCAAAAACGGTCGCTGGCCCTGATTTTCTATAGGGGCCTAAACAATTACCAATTCTATTTTGGGGGTTTCTTATTATAAGTATGGGCCCCGAAACCCTATGTATTCTCAGTATTAAGGCCCAGATATCATACCTTAACCTACCCCTGTAGGCTCTTATTCAAATCCGACTACTGGCCGTATGTGGACCTTTTAAGTGGAAAGTGGGCCCCTCCGTTCCAGGACAAACGGGCTCATGGCTCCATTTTGCAGAAAGCAATCTTCAGAGGACCCTCACTCGGTTCAATGAGCTTCGAGGAAAGGAAGTTTGTTTACGTGTTCTTATGGGTGTCTCTGCATGATGTGCAGGTTCACTGATTCAGAGTCCAGGCCGGAATGGGTTAGGATGTTTAGGAGGTCCAACAAATCGCCTTGAGTCCACTTTAGCTTCAGCATCTCCGCTCAGACATGCATGTAGGTATGTAAGTATGTAATTGTCGCTGTCGCTTTGCTCGGGATGAGGTGGAGCTTTCTTGGTCTGAAGAGCTCCAGGAAGGAATGTGCTACGTTCAGGGAAGGTTGCAGCTACTGGATCCTTTTCCTTAAAGGTTGAAAATGCATGGTTCTGGCTCCGCTTCTGTTTTCTTCTCTCCATGAGGACTAGATGTCGGAGCACTGTGATTGAAGCCTAAGTGTGCCCAGGTTGTCGTCTCTTCCATGACTCTCCGACCTTGAACTCTAACATGCGCTGGAGCCTCACCCCCGAAACATCTGCGTGGGAACCTCGAGGTGCACTTTCCATATACCGCATCCGGCGGACGGCGTTGGCTGCTCGCCCGCAAACATCCGCAAACCTAAACCCCAAACCCTGAGTCAAAGCCCCTCAGAACCACCAAAGCGCGGAAACCCTTCAGCCCGGCGGGGTTCTTGAGCCTTCTCACACTAGCGAACATGAATATCGGTGCCTGAATAAGTACCGATATTGTTCCGTAGGCTGGTTGTCCTATAAGCTTCAGTCTACCTCAACACCTTATTCTAATCATTAAGGCTTCACGGCGGCATAGTAACTCTTCCCCACATTACCCTAAGCTAAACCCTAAACCCTCATTCCCCAGGCCCCTATATTACCCCAAACCCTCAGCCCTAAACCCTGAACCCTCTTCAACATTTCCAGTAGCTAGTAGCACCACAAAGACTCTTCCGAATCTCCAGTCTTGCTGCTGCTGTTCATGTTTTGATTTTTGAGATTGGGTCGAAGTCTGAAGGTGCAAAACGTACCTAGCTACAAGGGCGTCTGTACTCAATCGCCAAAATCATGCTCGTATGAAGGGTTTGGGCGCTGCTTGACGTTGCAAGCGCGCAACCCGGGCAGGCAGAGTGCTGCCGGCTATGCCCCAGCCCCCATACAAACATGCGTGGAACAGTGGCTTCGTCACAGTGTGACAGATGCCCAAGCAGAGCCACTCAACTACGACGCCAGCTCCTCCCTAGCTCATCTGTTTTGATTTTTCAACTCTCATTTCGCTAGTCTCAGTTCTTGCTCAGAGCGCTCACGCCTCGACCCCGAACCCTAAACTCAAGACCCTTAACCCTAAGCCTTGAACCTTAAGCCTCAGACCCCAGACACCACAACTTCAAGCCCTGGACCTTCAACCCTAAACATCCCTAAACCCGAAGCGGCAAAGCGCTTCTCTTCTCCGCCTTGCCCGCTCACGCCATGGAGTTCTGCACGGTGCAAGTGCAGCTGCTGTCCGGGAAGGTTTGTGCTGAGAGACGAATGCCTCGCTGTTACCGCGTTTCTTCGGTTTTGGAAGATTTGCCTACCGTCGAGGAAACGCCAGACCTTCTTGCCAAGCGCGTGCTGCTCTTGGATGGACGCATCCTGTTGGCCGAGGAGGTGCTAGGAGAGCTCGATGCGGCCGGCACGGGCAGCTTGGTGCTGCAGTTGATCTGGCAAAGAGACCGGCAGGTTGTCCGCACGGAGCAACGGGTCCCAAAGCCTTTGGTACTCAACCTCGCCATCTGGGGGGGACCAAATGTTGGAAAGACATCGCTGTTCCACCGCTACACCCACACGGAGCGATACGACATGGACACTTGCAAGTGGGTTCACCTACTCGTGAATGGTGACGTTGACGTCTGTCTCTTCCTGTTAGATAACTGGCCGAAACCCATGTGGATCAGCAGGGATGAAATAACTAGGCGAATGAACGGACTATTTGTCTTCGACCTGACTGATCGGAACTCTTTCCGCCAGGTCCAACGCTTTCTGGCTTCGGACGACCAGCGGGAGCAGCGGTTGCGAGTGCTAGTCGGCAACAAAGCCGACCTCGTCGACCGGCGTGCGGTCACGTGGGAGGAAGCGCAGGCATTTTCCGCCCAGGTGGGCGCAGCCTATTTCGAGACGTCGGCCACCGAGGGCACTGGCATCGAGGAGGCGGTCCACCATGCCGTGCTGCAGGCTTTCGACATGCGCCGGGAACAGAAGCTGCCGGCACTCTTCGGAAACCTTCTTGAAGCTCAACCTGAGCTCGCCCGTGAAGAAGCTCAACCTTGGGTCGCCTCTCCGGCGTCCCTGTCGGGGCGAGTACTCCGAGCTGTGCGAAAAGGATGCCCACTGTTGTTAGTATTGTCACTGTTCATTCTTGCAATTATTGTGATGAATTATGAACCCTAAACCCTGCAGCCCAAACCCTAAACCCTGTAAGGCTTAAACCATAAAACTCTACACCTTAAACCCCCTTTTCCCTCCAATGCGGGCTTCGTCCGTGCTAGGCAGGAGGGAAAAAACCCTTTTCCCTACACCTTAACAATTGGAGTGAGGGCATTTTTCTAGGCAGCCTCAGTGGTGGAAATTGAGTCATACGATGTATGTCTCTGTGCCTATTCTACTTCTGGAGATCCACACCCGTTTATTAAAATTGGCATTCATTGCCGGTGCAAGCGGCTGGGCAAAGCCAAAAAAGAGGGGAAGCTGCCGGGAAAGTCCGGCCAGCTGTACCTGCTGTACAGATCGCACCTCGCAGAGTCAAGGGCCGTGCTTTCAGTATGTTTTACGCCGGTCGATCCGATCGTCGGCCTAGAAATCGATATGCCTTGGGGCGACTGGGACCAGGACAGCCTTGCAGATTGCTCACCACGGCGGCAACAAAAAGAACCTCGGACCACATGCCTCGCCTGGATTGTCCGAGTGCGAGCGCCGAAACCCTAAACCCAAGAAGAATTTCCTTGCAAGGAGCGCGGGGCATCAGACGCCGAGAAGGATGGAGAAGATATAGAGGCCTTTTCCCCCCTGTGCCGGTGAAGGGGTACCTTACGTGTAAGGGTTAAGGGCTAAACTAGGACAACCTATTTTGTCGCAGGTTCTTATTGTGAACCCAAGCCGAGCCAAAAACATAGTTTGTAGGGGTATTACAGAGAGTAGGTTTTGGTGGGTTAAGGTGGGGTTTGGGGAAGTTTAGGGGTAATGCCCCCTTTTGGAAACCCTAAACCAGTTGAGTGGGACTGAAGGGTCTCCACGGAGTGTTGTTGTGCAGGGTCTGCAGCCTTCTCGCTTTGTTGAGAAGATGACGATCGATTGGAGCAGCTCCCGTGACATCTGCCTTCTAAGGGATTTAAGCCCAATAGCCCTTAATTAAGCTCCTGTAAGGGATCTATAAGGAATCTGTAAGGGATCTATAGGGTTTAGGGTTTAGTGCACCAACTGAAACCTGAAGCCCGAGGGCAAGACTCTGCAGCCAAGCAACTAGAATCCGAGCCCTTCTGTAAGGTTCCAGGCTGAGCCACAACAACAGATATGGGGGTTTCCGACAATGGGGATCCTAGTATAGCACCCTAAATAGTGGGATCCTTGTTATAAGGATCCCAAAACGGGTACCCCTCATGATCGGAAACTGCCTTTAAAGCAGACCTATTTAAAGGAACCCGAAGGCACGCCTTCATTTTCTACCCCGAAGTTCCTGCAGTCCAGGTGGTGGCGCAGCGCCCAGCCCACGCCAAAGCGATCATGCCCGGGCCACAAGGGTTCATGTCCAGCCTCAGAACGACATGGTACTATAGGGGCCTTGAACCATTAGTATAGGGTTTTGGGGGTTCCTTATAATGTAGATGATAGGTAGGCCCTTAGATTAGACACTTTCAATTGGGAGGTCAGTGCTTAGAATCAGGGCTTCGCACCGGGTATTAGTCGAGCCGCTGAGAGCCGATAAGCAGAACGAATCGTGGCAAGCCATCGTCATCGCACGAGGCGGTTCGGAGTGACATGATGATGCATCATCATCACCATCATCATCACCACCATATCAGTACAGTCGAAACATGCAGGATTGATTGCCATTTACCGGCAGCATTTGCTGACGTCGGTTTCCGACGGTTCCCAGGTCCATGTGCTTTGGAGCCGGTGGCGATCACGTTGTCACGAGCTCCTCCGCGCCTTTCCTGCAAACGAGGCAGCACCGCCTCGCTAACCACATGGCAGGTTTGAGGGCATGCTCTGTATGGGAGTTTCCGAATATGAGGGGGGTACCTTATTTTGGGGGGTGCTTGTAAGAAGGATCCTATTTAGGGTTCTGTATGAGGCTCCCCGACTTCGGAAACTCCCAGATGACGCCGTAGTTGAGGGGTAGCTCCAAGGACCGCACCGTCCGGGTTTTCAGCATCCAGCAGAGGGAGTTCTTGGAGAACATGACCATCGAAGACACGGCTTGGGTGGCTTTGCTCAGATGAGTGATTTCCTGCATTTTTCTAGACCCCCTGCCCCCGCCAAAGAAAGAAACAAGCCGCCACCTGGGATTTCAACTGAAGTCAAGCTGCGCATGCGTCTCTATTCCTCCGCAGTATGCAATATATGGCTCCGGAATCTGCAAGTCAGCGTAGCTTCCGTGTCGAAGACGGCTCGGGGGTGAACAACGACACCGCCCGCTTTGATTTGCTAATCATGCAATAGCAGTCCGACAAGACTCGTTGTTTGAGGGGGGGGGCAGGGCGACCCTAAATCGTGAATCAAAGGTTGAGTCTTTCTATTTTGACTTTTCCACTGCCCCTGCTCTCAATTCTTTCTATACTCGGTTTCCAGGTCGTTTGCGTGGTGAGCTTGCCGAAGCCTGCCGGCGCATTCATCACGGCCAATGCCAACGCTGTGCTCCAGCCCTTCGTTCTACATAACATGCATTAGAGTTTTGTTGCGGGGCTGCTGGGAGGCTCGGAGGTGCGAAACCGTGCAGGGCAATCATATATCCTATGTTTATTGCTGAGTAGGCTTTCAAACAACAGAGACACACTTCGGCCGGAGGTACTGTATGAAAGGCTGAGCTAAGTTGGTTTTCAGAACCCAAATCTAAACACTTCTTCGACCCAATCTCTTTATGTAGCATCCGAGGCTGCGTGGTTCCAGCGTGAAGCAGCAGAAGGCTCTTCCGTTGTCCTCTTCTGGATTTCGAGATTGTCTTTTGGGGGATGCAGGGGGTTTATGAGGGTGTGAAGCAGACGCCAGAATTCTGGGAGCATCATTATCCGCATGCTCTTGAAGGAAGTACAGGGGGTCCCAGTCCCAATAATCGTTATCCCATGTTCCAACTTTTTATGTTTCACTGTAGGGTTCTCTGAATTGGGGAGTTTTTGAATTTACGGTTTTTTGGGTTTCGGTTGGAGAACGGCCTCCGGGGTTTGCAGGGTCTAGTTTGCATGAGTTTTGGGTTCCGGAACTTGGTGAGTTTCGGGGTTGGAGGAACTCGCGGATTGATTGGAGTTTCGGGTTCCGGGTTATGCAGTTGCGGGCTTGGTGTTGAAATTTGGAGTTCAGGGTTTAGTTACCAACATTGTTCTTTGGGGGTCTTTGAGCAAGAGCAATACCCCAAAACCTTTTAATAGCTATCAAGCTGGGCAGGGCCCCTTTATCAAGGACCCAGGGTAGGGACCTGATCGTCACGACCTGCTGCAAGAGATGGCTCTCAATGTTTCTTTCAGTTTGAAGCTTCCTCTTGAGGGTTTAGAGTTTAATCGGGGTTTCGGGTTTTAGGTTTACGGTTTCAGGACCCCGAAGGGTCCCAAATGAATTTGATTGTCAGCAATCAAAAAGCGGTGCGCTAGCCTCGAGGTTGTGGAGTTCAGGGCGTTATGGACATGCCCAAAACCTCAAGGATCATTTGGAGCGGGTTTTTGGTTGAACGGTTGCACCATTCGTAAAATTTTCAGGTTTCGCGCTAAACTTGAGACGGTAAGGTATGAAGTGGAGATGCGCGGAAACCGGATAGTACCAGGGCCTTGCCGAGTTTTGTCAACCGTTTAGTCTCAGTGCGAAGCACTTGGTCCCATGACGGTATGGATCGCAAACCCTCAAAAACAAAAGCAAGGCCAAAATGTCCTTGACTCAAACTGGGGCGAACTTGAGTGCAGGTCAGGCTTGACCACTATGCACGGTCGATGGTGCTTGTGAGCGATGGTGTCTCGCTCACCTTACAGGGAGGGCTGTCATCGGGGCATGGGGGCTTTTGAGGTTCCGTTTACGACTTGAGCATTTACCACTTGGCCATGTTAACTTCGGGTGTGACAGCCGTGCATCGCCAACATGCAGAGATGTAGACGCGACTTTGCCGAACGTGCATCAGAATTGAGCCCTTGGCGTTTAGATGCCATGAAGGCGTCAGGCTTTGTGGATTGGTTTGAGGCAGAGTGCCAGCCATGGCTCAGAGAAGTTTCGGCAGTTGACGTTTGCATCGCAGGAGTGTGTCGCTTTGCCCGAACACCCTTCGAACCCAAGACCCCGAAGGGTCCTTGAGATGCCAACTCACGTCAGAGAGGGTCAGAGAAATTCCGCGATGTTCAGGTCATGGGCTAATGCAACAAGTTTTGTAAGTATTTCAATGTTCCTGGCAAGCCATGGGCCAATGACCAACAACAGAAGCATAGGCGGCTCAAACAGATCGATTTGAGCATCTCTACATTTGTGTCTCGATGTAACATTATATGCCGGCACAAGATGGCTCATAAAGGAGCTCATCGCCAGAAGGGTCTGGCATTTGGACAATGCGGAGCAGCAGGCGCTTCTAGCAGAAGATAGCAGAAGTTCTTGCATCCGTCACGATACTTGTAGGAGAGTTTCTACAGACCCCAACAACTTCGTGAACCCTAAACCCCAAACCCCAACACAACTTCGACGCCAACCTCAAGCCGTGTGGCTCAGGCAAGCGCCTGCTAGTGGGAACGAGCCGTGGTCGCATCCACGCCTTCGATGTGACCCCACAGGGGCTCGAAAGGCCGGCTATAGGAGATTTTTCGGGGAACCTTTTTTTGCGTCGTTCCTTCAAAGGGATCCATAAGGGTTCCTGAAAAGGATTTGTAAGGGTTTTGGGCATAGGCTTGATGGACCCTTTTTTGGGCCCAAAAATCCCACACACCTTAGAGCACGCAACCCCAAACTCACCATATTGAAGCCCGAAGCCCTGACAGAGATTATTGATTATAGTGTTTGAGAACCCTCTCATCCCATATCGGCCCCAACACCCTGTAGACATAGACATCATACAGAGCACCCCTTCGGCAGGCTCGAGAGCCAACAGATTGGGAACACCGCCCTGACCTGTTTGACGCTGGCGCCCTGTGCGGATGCCCCGCCGTTGCTGGCGGCCAACTGCATGGCCCAAAACAATGCCATGGACCCGACGCCGGCGAGCTGTGCATTTTCGGGATTAGGATAGTGGTTGTGGGGTTTGAGGTTGAGCTGCTGCTTTTATGTAATTACAGTGTTCAGTGTTTCAGGGTTGTTTTCGGAAGTTTCCGCTTCTCGTTTGAGGGAAGCCTCGGTTCGCGAAAGGCTTTAACTATGCAGGCTGAGTAGTCAACCCTGAACCATAAACCCGAGTGTGAGCGCCGAAACCCCCTAAACCCTATAGAGGATTTGTTCGGAAGGCATTTTGTGCCAATCCTTGGTGTTAGGGGTTCGGGGACACGGCTTTGCCGCACTGTGTTTGGGAGCTCTCTCCCGTAAGATTCCGGGTTTCCGGCCCGGATCCCAGCAAGGAGCCTCCATAGTCCCGAAGCCACTGCCTGAGTCATCATGACCTTCAGCAGGACAACACAGTCTGCATCCTCCAGGCAAACAAGAACCTCGGCTGCTTTGGGTGAGCCGCGCGTGACGACGAAGACAGTGGACGAAGGCATAGGCAATGATGAGACTTGCCCACATGCATGCATAGCCTCCACTCAGGACCATCACGAACTTCACGGTGCTCAAGCGCTTCGCCAACCCTCACAGGCCTTCATTTCTTGCTTTCCGGCTGTGGTGCGGCGCGGTTCTGGCTTCAGGGCAGGGTTCTCGAACTTGTCACCGGCACCGCTGCTAGCAGTCGTTGTTGCTAATCTTGGGGTGATGATCTTGTAAGTTAGACTCCGTTTCAAGGAAAACGTGTACACACTTCTCGATGTACTTGTGCTGAAGATGGAGTTTTCCTTGCCCGTGCTTCAGCACGATTGCAAGGCATTAGGCGGTCTCCCCGCTGCCGTTGGCTCTAGAGGTTTGGGGTGCTGGGGTATAGTTTAGTGGCTTTCCGTTGTGAGGCCACTCCCAGCTCAGCGCTGGAGACCCCCAAGGCCTGAAGCTTCGCAGCCCCAGCTGCCAAGTTCGACAAAAAAGCCAGATACGTGGCTGAACCCTGAACAGTCTTTACCCGGAAACCCCTAAATCCTAGACCCTTAAACCCTCATAAAGCCAGGATTGTCCGAGTGTCAGCACCGAAACCCTTACCTGGACCCCAAAAGTATGTAGAATAATAGCCTTTTATAGGTTTTGGGCCCTTATTTTACCTACTTTGGGGGGTATATATTATAAACAAAAAAATAAGCAGAGCCCGTTGAAGCGGTCAGGCTGCTACCACTTCGGCCCCTTCCTCGGTTTCCGGTCCCGGAAGGGTGTGAAAAGCCTTTGCGCTCACATCGGGACAGGGCTTAGAGTTCAGGGTGTAGGGCTTAGGGGTTGGAGTTCAGGGTTTAGGGTTTAGGGGTTAGAGTTCAAGGTGTAAGGTTTAGGGGTGCAGGGTTTAGGGTTTCGAGTTCAGGGTTTAGGGGTGGTGCGCTCTCGTTTGGAGTGTGGGGTGTTGTGGACTTGTACAGGCTCGAAGAGCTCTAAAGCCCCCGGTAAGCCCAAAACCGTGAGCCTTCAGTAATCAAGGTCATGCCACGTCCCTGGTTGCGCCGAAACGGGCGAGGACCGCTCTCATCTCATTGAGGCTTCCGGAAAAGATGGGGCTTCCGGGGCAGCTGCTCAGTTTGAGAAGCGTTGGTTTCATACACATTGGGTGCGGATGCCCGATCGTACATAGTTCGATTGTTCTTTTGGTTGCTTCTTGGTTAGGATGTTTTGGCGATGTTGTTGTTAGTGTTTGCTATGTGATTCAGATACACATACTATTCCTGCGAATGTAGTTGTGCGATATGATTCCTCTTCTTGTGACTGTACACCATCCCGAAAAACAACCAAAACCACGTAAAAGAGGTTGGCGTTTGCTAGGTTCACTCCTTTGCGGCATGCGTTTGCAGGGGATTCTTGGGACTCATCAAAACAAATATGTGTATGTGTGTGTATATATATATATATATATTTGTCTTTGCTGAAGTACATCCATCTCAAAGCCCTCGCGATCGCGAAGGCGGCAAGGCAGCACATACCTGCGACACTTGCATCCTGCCGGGAGCGTAGTTGTCAGCGTAATTGGACCAACCACATAAACCCTAAAGCCTAAAGCCACGGCCCAATAGTGCCTTAGGCGCGGCTGTGAGTCTACAGCGAGGGGCCAGAGGATTCCTGAGTCTGCTTTGGGTTTGGTGTTCAGGGTTCAGGGTCCTGTTCGAGGCCTCAACAAATCCGGAGTCTTAATGCACCGACCCCACGAAGCCTTAATCCCTGGCACTTCCCCTGCGAATCATAGACCTGACCTCGGAACCTGAGCCCGGTGCCCCAAAGGCGCCAGCCATAATCCCCTCAGAACTCTGTCGGCGAAGGACGTCCTGAGCGCGGGCTTCCTGGCCACGGGGGCAGAAGATGGTTTCGCCGCTTCGCTCACTTGGGGTTTACTGCAGAAACGGCCAGGACTGCGGGATTCAGGTAGGGTTCCTTTAAGGGGTCTACCGGGATTGCTGCAAGGGATTATTTGTAAGGGTACTATAACATCGGGGCCTCAATGATTGCCTGTACTATTTTGGTGGTTCCTTAGGATAGTTAAAGTCTAATGGACCCCCAAACCCTATTCCAATTTTTCAGATTACAAGACATCTGAGGGAGCTGGCAGTCTGCCTAAGAAGAGCTTGCAAGCCATACCAAGGAGAGGGGCGGGGGGGGGGCGGGGCGGCCCAAAAACGCGTCAAATAGACTTGAATTGATTGGGGCAGGCCCTTGGTAAGGATATCGGTGCAGCAGCTTCAAGCATACCGGCTGCGATAGCCAAGCATGTACGGCCATTATCACTGCGATAGGGAGGCGATGTATCGCATTTGTCAGACCCGCCAAGCATCCCGAAGCGTTGGAAATTCTCCAAATGCGAAACAACGAAAAATTAGACTCTAGACTCTAAGCCCACATCTTCCACCAAACAGCCCCAAAGAACCCACGAAACCTCTAACCTCAACTCCCACACTTTGCAGACCAAACCCGGCTGCCAAGGTGCGCGTGTTCGATTTAGAGGGTCCCTTCGGCAGCATGATACTGATGATATGTGATAGAAAGCAGCGTTGCAACTGACAAGAGCAACTATCGGGACAGCTGTTGCAGCAGTGGTCATGGCAACGGTTGATGATTGGCGGAGTACTGCTGAGTTTATGAGATAGCATCTCAAAAATATGCAATCGCCTCACTGCCATCACGTTGGCGTTTCGTTGTGTTGCCAGCATCATGAAGTTTTGCCAGAGACTTGCATCAACCGCCGAAACAGGCAGCCGCCGTGGTCGTGGTAGTCGTAGTCGCCGTAGTAAGTAGTAGTGGAGGTACTGGTGGTGATGGTGATGGTGATGTTGGTGACCTGTCGTCTTTCATGACAGTAACGCCTCCTGTTGGGGTTTCGGTGTCAGTTTGGATTACGAGAGCTGGCTCTATAGAGTTTTGCAGTTCTGGACGAGGCTCTAGATGTTACAAGCACATTTGTCGCGTTTCCTTTTTTTGGTGACGTCTTCAGCAGCTGTCATCATCCTTGATATTCAAGCATGCAGTAACGTGTACTGACCGCACGATTGACAGTTCCACTGCAAGCATCGTTCTTGCAGAGGTGCTGTATAGGTATCGTAGACGATGCCAGCAAACCTCGGTTATTGCTTCCTCGGCTATGGCAGCCCTCAACACTCTAAAGTTCGCTGAAGGTGTAAGGAGAAGAAGCGCTTGGTATGCTTTCAAACGCAACAGCAACCGCAGATGCGCTCTCCCTCCCCTCTCCTTCCCTCCCCACGCAGCCCGGCCCTAAACCATAGACCTTGCATCCTACACCCAAGACCCAATCTTGGAACTCCACTACTCAAACCCCAAGCGAGATATCGTAAACCCTAAAGCCTTCCCATAAAGCGCCCTGAACCCACCACCCTAGTTTAGATCCCCAAACCCATTCAGTTAGCTCAGGCTTCACAGAGCAGACGCTTCAAGGGCACAGCGTCCCGGTGGTGGACGTCGCCGTTTCCCGAGGCCCTTTAAGGCTCTTTACTCGGGGCTGAAGAATTTACGGTTTTGGGTTTGTTTGTTCCTTAGGCTTCCGTGTAAAGGAAAATCCGTAGTGTAATCTACCCGAAGCTGTTGTAACATTCCAGCTCCTGTATTACTCCGAAGCCTATTAATCAAATGAGCATCCTTTAAAGTTTTGCATATCGCGCCGAAGTCTCGACACTCTTTGTTACGGGGATGCCCGACACAACAAATTTCATGATCCCTAAACCCCTAAACCCTAAACCTTATATAAACCTTGAACGACGGAAAAGTGACGTCAAACAAAGAGCTTAAATGACTAAAGCTGACCAATACCTTTGAAACTTTATCCTAAAGTCCCCGCATGTGGGGAGACCCCGCAGCGCAAGCTCCCCCAGGATGATGTCCGTAATGTAGGGGACATTTTTAAGAGGAAACTTGAATCAAAATTCTGGTCCTGAGGGTTCCATGTCGTAATCATCGGAAGCATACATGTGTTTTTATGTATATGCACGCATGCATGCAAGCATGTGCATATATGTTTATATTCACACATATGTCAAGAACACGTCTTTCTTCGGCGCCCACGTAATAGAAGCACCACATATCAACCCGGAAAGGCTTAGGCTTCCGTCTCTCATGGCTCCAACTGGGGAGTTCCTGCGTGTCGAAGCTTTGGTATGGAAGGCCTGTCGAGTCTTCGCGAAAGTCTCGTGCTAAAGGACTCTGCCCCAAACCCTGTAGGCCTGTTCAGCCCTAGAGTCTTGAACCTATAAACCCGCTTGTCTTAGCCTTCGGCCTTATGTCAGCGACGACCAGCCGAGCAGACATAAAAAGGAGCTCCCAAAAAAAACTATAAACCCTCTTGTCTTAGCCCTTAGACCGACATCTAATCTTGGAGTTTGCCCAAATCATCCACGTAGTTGTGGGCAGGCGTTGGGCTTTTGGCCTCTGGGGACGTGCACGGGAAGATCAACCTGCCTGCCTCTGAGATTTTGCAGTGAAGAGTTGTCGTTTGGGGCTCAAGGGGGTTTCAGGTTAGGTTCTAGACCTGGGTTGGGATTCAAGAATATTGAAGGTTTCAGTTAGCAAGAACTGTTGGGTATGGGGTTGGGTCTGACGAGGCCTTGTAGCGGGTGGTCCCATGTTTCGAGTCTCACTTGTCCCGACATGTATACCGTGTTTTCAACAGCCACCAGGCTTGTTAAGACCGTCAGAGTTTGAAGATACAACAGAAATATGAGGACGAAGAGAGGTAACAATAGCAGAAGTGTTCAGAGTAATTACGATAGCTGTAGCTAGAGCCATGATAGCAAGAAAGCCAGCGACACAACACCCGAAATTTACAAGGCATCTATGGGCCTGTGCACACAAACATCCCTCCGACCAGCAGTAGAAAAGGTAAGCAGGAATGGTGGGACGTTTGGCAGGCTCAGTGGCGAGAGGATTGTCCTTAAGAACGGGCAGTAAGGTGAAGACTCAGATTGCAAGATGAGGTCGACCCAAAACTCGCAGTCTCCATTTAATTAGTCAAAAAGCCCCAACCCCCGACGGGTTTGGAGTTGGGTAGGGTTGAGTGACCCGAATCTGTAGGATGCAACATGGGCGCCGAGGTGGCGACGTGGCGGACGGTTCAGCATCCATACTTCCAACGGTTTGCACTAGACGACGAACAAGGCGTGACCAGCACTGCTCGTGGGCTGTGCGGCTACCCAAAGTGCATTTCCTATCCCGGAACAGCTGATACATAACCCCTAAGTCTCAGATCTAGGCACTGCCACTCCGGCCCTGGATTCCAGCCCTTCCATCGTCAATCGCATTGCTTCAGTCCTGGCGTTGCGCGGTGCTCTGCTCTAAATCATGCTAGGAGTATTATAGGGGCCTTAATAATTGCCTATACTGTTTCGGGGGTTCTTTATTATAACTGTAGTATAATGGGCCCCGGAACCCTATTCTACTTATTAAGGCCCGTATATCATAGAACCCTATTATGAATCCCTCATACAACCCCTTTAAGGATCCCTTAAAGGGACCCCTAGTCTAATTATTAAGGCCCCTATATCATAGAGCCCTTCTCGTATCCCTCATAGTAACCCTTTAAAGGAACCCTCATAGTACCCCAAGGGAACCCTAGTCTAATTATGAAGGCCGCCACAATAACCAGATCTGAAGTCATTCTAAGCCACAGCGGCAGAAACGGCGAAGAGAAAGCCGTGTTCTTTAGCCCCAAAGGCGAAGCGTTCAGGAGGAGATCGAATGCTTATGTTTTGATTTACACATATATAGATGTATACATATATACATCTATATATATATACACATAATAAATAGATAAAAGATATGTGTATATATATATATATGTACACTTCCTGGCGTTCTTCATTGACCCTGGACACGACTTTTATTTTGCAAGCAATGCGTCGATTCGTTACATGGTTTTCAGGACACAAAGCCAAAACGCTCTGACATTTCTGAAACTATACCGGTGCACCCACCTTCCCGCAAAAACTCAAAGCGCAACCCAGCCAACCTTGAAACTCTGCCCAAGCAGGGCGGTGGCATCAGTCCTCGGACGACGCTGCGCCATGCGAGCTTGGTTTCGGTGAACCTACTCCGGAACATGGGGTTAACATGTGTAAATGATAAATGAAACCATGATGGTACTTTCTCTTCAGACATACCAAATTCAGGTTTTTAGGGTTTGAAGGGTATTCGAGGTTGATAACTTTCAGCGGGGTCGACGGTTTAAGGCAAGTTTAAGGCAAGGAAGGACTCCACGAAACAACCCTTAAACCTTAAACCCTTATCCCCTACAAACCCGAAATGAACCCTACACTTCAAACCCTGAAACCTGAACCCTAAACCTGTCACCCCTATAAGCCCAAAATAAACCCTACACTTTTAACCCTAAACCCTTAACCCCTACAAACCCCAAACGTTAAGCCCTAAATCCTAAACCCTACCCCAAACACTACACCCTAAAACCTACACTCTTGGCATCTTCGAAGTTTCGCAGTTCCGGGGTCAGAGGCTAATGCAGCTGAAATTTGGGAGGAGCTCTGCCAGGCCTTTTGTGCGTTGTCCACAGCCTTTAAATGGGTAGCTGTCAAAATTGTGGCGCCTTGTTGGGTACCCTAAATATTAGGTGCCTTATTATAATAAGGACCCAAAAAGGGACCATAATTTTGACAACCGCCCGAATACAGAGTAGGGGTTCTTTAAATTGGTGCTTGCAGTGTTGTGCTTAAAGCTGTACAAACCCATAAGGTACAGTATATGGGTTGCGACATGAGCAAAGGGCCCGGCAGCAACTTTTCACCTGTATCGTTTATGACAAACGCAATGCACTCAAGTTAGCGTCAAGGGGTTAAAGGAGGGGCTTCAATCGGGCACGCCGATTCATAGGATCGAGTTTTCTTCACACCTGCTGTCCATCAGCTATTCCACAGCTTTGTTTCCACCGGTTCTTATGTATGCAGTGCCCAGATTGAGGGCCCGTCCTTGTTTCCCTTGCTCTCCTGGGCTACCAGAGCGGTCCAGGTCCTTCCTTGCGGTTGCGCGAGGTGCCCTGAATAGGCTCTTGAACGTACCGTCACCTATCGTTTCCACATCGAACGCCACGCTGCACATGTGATCATGCGCAGCAGATAAAGGAATTGTGTAATTCTGCCGTTTTGGTTTGGCCGCACTTCCGCACGACAGCACCAAGTCGATTGCGTGTGAGCTGCCCTGTAGAGAGCTGACTGAGGAAGCGCATTCCTCCGGAGGACATGTGGAAGGGTTCGGCCTTTTTGCAAAAATATGCCCGCTGCTCGCCCAATGCAGGAGCAAGCGGTCGACGCAGCCCGGCTGCAAGTCAAGCAGGCAGAGCAGGCCGGCACCTTGCCACAGGCGTCACGATGCCCGGAAGCCTGAAAACTGAAACCTAATTTCCTTGCACCTCCGGTCAGGTCACAACGCCATAGCTCAAACCTTTATCAGCCCTATGAGCCCGGAAGATCCCTAAACCGGCCGGGGCCTGCAGTGCAGGCCGCAGAGTCGGCGCGAGAGGAAGCCCGCGTTGCAGAAGGCCACCGGGTTTTCAGCACGAGACAACCCAGACATCACAAATGAACTGAAAGTGATGCGAGGGTATTATAAGGAGCGGTCAGAGGGGCACCGATGCGTCCAACAAGTTTGCTGGATGTGTGAAATCTTTGGATCCAGCCAACATGCATGTGTTGGGAAGAGATGTTGAATTGGATTGTAATTCTGATGCAAATCCGTCGGTGTAGGCAGGGAGTCTCCGTGATCCGTAAATATATATGTGTATATATATATATATATATATGTGCCTTCGGCTGACATGAGCCACTGCGAGGGGAGACGATGATAAACCACCTACATTTTCGCGTAATGTAGAAGGCCTCTGTGGGGTTGCTACCGATGACTCAGCTCTCTACTCTTAGCAGCATCCTTCACTGCATCCGCAGCTGGGACAGAACACAAGGCGCCATCATCAGGGATCCTGAATCGAAGAACCCGTAGATAAAATGCCCGTTACGATGCCTTGATATTCCGAAACTCTCAATCGATCTCCGGAGGTGACCTCAAGGCCTTCTTGGCGAGCTATGAGGCTGATCCCGAAAGGCCCAGACGTGGTCTCAGACTCGTCGTTTCTTGGGGCCTCATGGCTTGAATAAATACTATTGGTGCCTAACTAGTTAAGTAGATAGGTAGGTAAACAAGTAGGTACATACATATAACAGGGTTTGCTGGTAGTGGGCAGCGAAGTTGATGGAAACTGGCTTCTCTTCTCTTGCCCATACCGAAGCTCAACGCCGGAATCCATGATTCACGTCACGTATCGTTTGGCAACCCCAAGCCCCAGAATCCGAAGCCTTCAGAACATGCAGTTCCTCGGTATGCGATTCAAAGTTCGAGTTCAGTCTGAATGCATGTAGACTACTATAGAACCCAGAACTTTAAACCGTAAACCTGAAAGCTTCAGACGATTGGGCAGACATAGACAGGAGCTCAAAAGAAAACCTGGCAGCTTCTGCAGCAGGCATCGGCATTTGCAGGCGGTCGCTGGATGGAAGACGTCTGCTTCAGTCGTGGCCTCGGAGGGTACATTTAATTTGGGCTTCGGAATTAGTGTTTAAGGATTCCTGTGAGAGTTACTATGGGGGTTAGGGTACGTTTAGGTTTGGGGTTTAGGGTTAGGTTTCGGGTTGATGGTTTAGGGGTTCTTGTGAAGGTTGCTGCATGTTGCTAGGGGTCCGTCAGGGTTTAGGGTGTATGGTTTTGAGATGTTTTGAGGGTCTAGAGCGTTCGTCCCTGTGGTTGTTCTCTGATCGCACGTGTTGTGAGTGTCAGTACATTCCAGCGCGCATCTCACGTTGTGCATTCCGGCTTACTAGCATTGCCATGCGAAGTATAACACCGACAAGTCTCTCGCGCTGCTGTACTTATTCTTAGACCCAGGGGCCTGTTTTGGTGAATTCGCAATATGCTTTGAAGTTCCCGGTTGCTGCCCTTGTCTATAACGTTTGCTACCGGAATCACTCCAGTCATTAGGATAGCCAGTGGGCTTTCGAGCCAGTGTGCCCCCATCATCTAGTAGCCGCTAGTAAGGCTGGCGCTGCCGCAGCTAGTGTTCTGAATCCCGGCGCGTCCTTCAGATGTCGTGTCCGAGGAACACACTCTCACGAGCCGGCTAGTACCAGTATTCATACTAATACTACTAATACTAATACGAATACCAATAAATACTAATACTAATACTAATACGCTGCTGTGTTGCGAAGCGAGGAGCAGTCCGAGACGGAACTGCAAGAGGCCCGATGTGGATGCCGACCTCTAGGCCCCAAACTCTAAACTCCAACCTCAACCTAGCTGGGAAAGGAGAGGTCACAAACAAGCAGAACCCTAGCACCCTGAGCTCTAGAAGCCCTGCACTCAAGATGCAGACAGATGCTACATACAATCCCAAGCCTTGTGCTGTCCCTGAAGCCCCGAACAGTAGAATTTGGCTCAGGTTTGCAAGATGCACGTTTGACGGATTGCAAATTAATTTGACATGTCTATCTATGCATGCATATGGTAACCCAAGATACAACAAACATATGTGTGCATGCACTACTCGGGCTTCGTCACACTTCAGGCGAAGATTGTTGTTGTTTTGCGGCTTTCAACTGCCTGGAGCGAACGGGGATCGCCACTCTTAGTGGTTTAGCAATTGTTAATGACCAGTGTCATTAACTCTGGCTTGTCGCAAGGGTTGCAACAGTGTACAAGTTTCCGCAGGGTTTGGTATTTAGGCGTCACAGTTCTGATTCATGCTTGCTCAAGAGCCCTGCCGACGCCGCTGCTATCAACAGGGATCTGTGAAGGCATGCAGCGGAGGCAAGGATTGGACAATCTGTTGGAATCCAGGCCTACATCCTATAGCCTGAATCCCAAACCCTGTCAATGGAAACAAGCCAGAAAAAGATGAATTTAGTTTAAACCCTAGGCTACCCGTGCACTCAGGGTTGGGGTTGAAGATGCTTCGCAACGTTTCGTGGCAAGAGCCAAAGCCTGAAAACCCCCCGAACCCAGGACACCCAAATCCTAATCTCTCACCTGCAAATCCCCCCCCCCCCACCCCCCCGAAAGCCCCAAAAGCTTGAACCCTCAAGATCGGCTGTCCCATGGGATTTCTCTGTGTTGGCACTCCGTCCGTGGTGCGGCCGCTGGCTGTTGCACGTCTACGCCCAATCGTGCCGCCGTGCCTTGCGAAAATAGCTGGGATAGGGCTTGTAGGATTCAGACATCAACGCTTGGGCGTCCGGTTTGCAATGTGGGGATCTGACTTTGGGTTTGGGGGTCTTGGTTTTGAGGGGAGAGTTTCGCAAAGACCCCGACGTTCGAAACCCAGAATACCTTGAGACTTGGACCAACGGGGGCGCGGGGCAACCAAACTAACATTCTAAGCTGACCGTAGCCACTAACGACCTACCTTGTTTAGATTTGTTACGTAGACATAGAAGGAGATGATAATCGGCAACCGTCGAAAAGTTCTTTGGGATATCGGGAGGCTCCCTATCTAAATTGCTACCAAGTAGGGTTGTTCTTGTCCTTGGGCGTGCGGCATGTTACAGTCAAATCACCGCATAGCCCGATCGAGGCCTTGTATTCTCCCTTGTTGCGTCTTGCTTCGCGGACAATGTCCTGCTTATCGCATTCAAGAAGCGGAAGTCAAGATGATTTCAATACAGCTTTCAATACATGTCAAAGTTACATCCCCAAGTTGTGGTATTCATCCCGTCAAGCACAGCGTGGTCGTGGCTTTCATGTTGCTTGCCTTTGAGAAGGTCCTCGAGACTGTAGAATGCAGTCGTTTCTACTGGACATAAGAATGCCGCGATGCAAGGGAATTGGTACGAACCAACCGATACCACTGACGGGAGACGCTTGAAAGCGAATAACAAGACCAGAACAAGCGGTGACAACGTCCTGTAAACTTCCGCAGCATGAACAGTACCCAAAGTTCCAAAATAGCAGGATCCGCAACATGAGGACCCGCCGATTTGGAACCCCAATTTTCAGAAGCTCTGAAGAGCCCAGTGGAGGTTGGCGAAGAAGCCCAGATTGCGGAGTGTGTGGTGGACAAGGCCCTCGCTTGCGACCAGGTCGAAGCCAGAGCAGGAGAGAGGGGAGACTGAGACGGTGCCCTGGCTCCCAGTGCTTCTCGGATGCACTTGACTTCAAGGGCAACATGAGCAGGGATATGATGCGTGGTCTTGAGTTGGCTCTACATGCAAAGGGGGAGAATAAAAAGCCAGAAAGTTTAGAGATGCGCTCTACGTGAGGGTGCCTGTCTTGGACCCGGTTCTTCTGGTTTCATGCGGCAACACTTTGGAGGGAACGCACACCCAAACAGTGGAAGGCCTACCGAAGGCGTTGTTTTTTCGAACCGTCCGGAGGTTGCTACGGCATTCTTTGTAGGAGATGCTTGATTACAGCTTGGTGCAGCGACTTGTTTGCTTGACAAGGCTGGTAGCTCTCCTTCTGCTGGGATGGAAATGGCTCGATGACAGCACCTACTTCTATGCGGCCCGAACAACCGCTGCTTCAAGGAAAGATGCCGATCAGGTCTACATCCAGGAGCCCTGGTTGCTTCATAGATCATGGTGTGCAACTAGAAGACTTTAACTGAACGAAAGATTGTTCTACCCAGTGGACCAGCCAAGGAATCGCGAGATGCCGCTCCCTCAGCAGGGTCTCGGCCAGTGGGCGAGGAAGGCATGATTTTGGGCCGTGTGTGTTGCAGCATGTCTACCCGGCCCAGGTGATAACCAACGTTCCGCGGCGCTGCTTGGTAGCAGTCTGGCGCACTTTCTCGTTTTCCCATCGTTCCCCCGAAGTCATTGGCAACAGGCTCCACTCATGTAGTGTGGCAGTATGTAATCACAAAATGATTAAGCAACTCACGAGCAAAAGGGGCGAACCAATAACACATGCACATACATACATACATACATACATACACGCATACATACACATACACATACATACATGCATGCATGCATGCATACATAACAAATATGTACAGATATATAGATATATAGATGTCTATATATCACGCCTACATGCCAGCATTCCTACAGACTCAAGCCCACCTTTAGGTTTTCTCCGGCTCCAATCGGAGGGCGCTCCGGACCTTCCCCTGCCCTACCCGGACGCGCCAGATCGGCCCACCGTTTTCGAGGCGAGCGTGGCTTCCTGGCGAGAAGAGCACACGTTCCTGAAATAGACCAGAATGATATACTATATTATACCATAATGATATTGTGATTAATATAATATAAGATAGTGTAGTATACGAAGGTTGGGGTTGTGAGTTTAGGGGGTTTTCTGTTTAGAGGGATTTTGGACTAGTTTGAACCGAATTTCACGGCAGTTGCTACATTCGAGTTGTTTCTTTAGAGGGGCGGGTCTATGGCTACTAGGGTTGACCACATACCTGCCTTCCTACCTATCTACGTACTTATCGACTTGTCGATTTGTATTTCGCCTGCAGGAGTCATAAGATACGTACATCAGGGAAACATAATGCGAGCACTCATAGTAAGAAATCGTCATCAGCACCAGCATCAGCATCAGCACCATCAGCATCATCATGTTTAGTTCAGTGTTAATATCACACTCGTCAGTGATACTTCGACATGTAATAGTACATCCTGGATGCCAGCTGATCGTCACAACCACAGCCGTCATCAAGATAAGCATTCATCCTTCTAGTCAGAATTGCAACTAGTATCAGGGGAAGATGCAGACAAGTCATGAGGCAAGCAGCGCGATGTGGTTGTCTACCCCGTGTCTTCAGGCAGCCTTCGGGCGCCGAACCTCCGTTGTCAATGAAGACTCGTCGCCAGAGGGCCTACCGATGCCAAGGAAAAAGCTCAAAAAGCAACCCTCATTCCGACTTCCCTAGACCTTAAACCCTAATTCCCGAATTCCCTAACTTCCTAAGCCCTAAACCCCCATTCACAACTTTAAAACAAAGCTCTGGTTTTACAGCCACCCTCCGAGGATTTCGACATGTCGCGGATCCTCGACCCCATCATCGACTCGAATCTTCTCGGCACTTGGGGGGTTTCGGGTTTATGTGCTTTCTTCTTCGAGAGAGGGTTTATAGAAGGTTTTTGTTGAGAAGAAGAGGGGGTAGGGTCTGGGAATTTTTGGTTTTCGGGTTTAGAGTTTTGTGGGGTATAGGTTGTGGAGCTTTGGGGGTTTAGGGGTTTGATTTCAGTTGAGCTTGTGAAGGTGTCAGGGCTGTTGGAGGCGCTCAAACGGCCTCTAAAGGCAGGCCCAGGCATGCAAGTTCGGATTGCAGTGCTTGGTATCATGTCGGGTTTTCCTTGCTACGGCCCTACATCACAATATACAGAGTGGTTTTGTCCTTGTCTGCCTCTTCCCTACTCTGTGATGGTGCGGGGTAGGGAGTGCTTGGCACGTGTTCGTACTGATTCAGCCTGTGTTAATGTATCCACGGCAGCTCAATGGCCCAAACCAGCTTTGAAACCCTCGTGCCCTTCTACTTCCCGACAGCCAAGGAAGTGGTTCGATGCTGTCTTGGATTCCGGGCTTCTGGACTTCATGCTCCACAAGAAGTGAGGAATAATGTAGGGGGCTTAATAATTAGAATAGGGTTTGTTGGGTATATTGTACTATACATCGAAGAAGGAGCCCCCAAAACCCTACTCTAATGATTTTTTCCCTACATTCAAAGGAGCCAGAGTCCCTTGTCACCTGCCTGCTGCCAAGCTGCGTAAGTTCGTGTTCTAAGTAGACCGAGTATACTTTGGCGGCCTCAATAATGACCAATACTATTTGGGGGGGTTTCCATATGTTAGTTATAGTATAATGAGCCCCAAAACCCTATTCTAATTATTAAGGCCCTTATATCATAGAACCCTACTATAGATCCCTCATAGAACCCTTCTAAGGATCCCTTTAAAGGGACTGCTAGTCTAATTATTAAGGCCCCTGCATTACTCTGTTCGGGCCCCTGCTTCGTTCATTTAGCTGCCATCGGACAAAGCACCGGTGGTTCTGAGAAGGCGCGTCTCGGTGCGAAAGGCTGTCCGACTGCAGATCAACCCTATCAAGGATCCTTGCAACACCCTATCTAAAACTCTATATATCGTATTAGATAGGGTGTTATAAGGGTCCTGTTTAGGGTTGATCTGCAGATATAGAACCCTAGACCCTAAACTCCAGACCTGAGCCCGAAACACCTAAACCCAGACGCAAACTCCCGAAGTTGTTGAAACCATGGACGGGTGACCGCAGCCACCGACGGCGGCTCGACTCCGTAGGGAGCAGCCGCCGAAGGCGAGCAACCAGGACAGATACCACATGCAGTAACGGTGTTTTTAGGGCCCAGGGTGTACGGTTTATAATCCTCAAACAGGTCGGAAATCGGATTAAAGACAATTAGTGCCGGGATGCCTATATACATGACTTTTCAGGATTGAGGCCGTTGAGTTTCCAATTTTTGGGCTTCTACTGTAGGGCTTAGGGATTAGTTATGCATTGTGGGCTTGGTCGGGAGTGAAATTGGTTTACCAGAGCGGAGCACGCTACTGAACAAGTCGGGGATGCGTGACTTGCAATATGCGTCGGCTGGGGTTACGGTTGCAACTGCGTCGTTACCTTCAGCTTTGCTCTGTCTTTGTGGTTTGACCCAGAATCGCAAGCATAATTAGCCATGACGGTCATCACCCTCAGCGAAACAAGATCCCGACATTCGCGGAGCTTATCGCTGCGACCACGATTGTTGCTATTTCCTCTACTTCATGGGTGGTTGTCAATATCAGGGTCCCTTTTTTGAGTCCTTACTATACTACGGCACCTAATATTTAGGGTCCCCACAATGGAACCCTAATTTTGACAACCACCCTCATGGCTACTATAGCAGCACTCGTCGCAGTTCTGCTGCCGCTACCTGAGCCAGTTCTCAGCCCTTCCGAACGCAGATAATTTGAGATTCCCTAGACCCCCAGTTACTTAAACAGTAGGTTACTAGCCATATATTGTATACCCCAGTAGCCCATTATTTAGGTAGCTGAAGCCTTAAGGATTGCTATCTCTGAGTCTCTGAATCATCCTGAAGGAGATGCGGAGGCGATCCGCAAGAATGAAGTTCTTGGGCTTTCTGCTGCATGCTGCTGTGGCATGGGGAGCCAAGCGGCTTCGCTGCAACTACGAAATGGGTTTAAGCACTTACCACTGCTATTGTGGGGGGGGGGGGTCCTTGTTATGATTATAGTATTATTGCTGCAGTGCAGTGTCAGCTTTCCAAATGCCCGGCAAGAAACGCCGATGAGACACATCTTTACGACATGCGCTGATTCACGAAACTGGTCGCTGCCACTGCATGTTAGATTCCCTACTGCCAAGAGGGAAGAATCAGACAATTAAATTAGTGGGTCTCGCAGAGTGTTTTGGCTCTCGTTCGACGTCTGGTGCAGGATAACGTAGACGATCACGCTGACCTGACCCAGCGGAATGACTGAGGATTCGACATGGAGATTATGCAAAGACGACCCCGGCATACTTGGAGATTGAGCTGAAAGCGGATTCTTGACGATGTTCTTCCCCATTCCTGCACTTTAGGAGAGGATCCTTCGGGTGTAGCCGTTTGAGATTTGTATTCGTCCTTGGTTGAAGGCCTAGGCTTCGGGGGTTCGTTGTGCTTCGCTTGTGGAAGATACACTCTTTTCCACGACGCATACATCTTGAGATTTCCCCACCCTTATGAATAATAATACTACTGGTAATAATAAAATAACAAACACTAATAGTAATAACAATTCGAATAGTCATAAACGTAATAATAGTAATAATCGCCAAGGAGACTTTCGTGAACCCCCTGACGACAGTCGGTGAGCTCGGCGCCGCAAAGCTGTTCGACTCGACGGGCGCATGTCTGATCCTCAAACATGTGGGTCGTCCATGGCGTAGGGTGTAGTATAGTATCATTGTAGTATAGTATTGCAGTAGAGTATTATTGCAGTATAGTATTGTTATAGGTCGTAGGGTGTAGGGTTACATGTCCACTGTGGAGATGATGATGCATAATCGAGCAGGTCATTGCAAAATGATCTGCTGCTGTAGCGGAAATATATTTAAAGCAGTTAAAGCAGTTTCGCCGACATTTCAAGAGTCCGGATAGTGGGATATTCCGAAACATGGAACCGGTAAGAAAACGTAGACAACGGTTTCCTCAGGTTTCGAAGAGTCTGAAAGCAGTTGCTCCAGTTTGATTCTTGGCGCAGATCCCACATCGGGGCCCACACACAACACCCTAAACCCCATCTCTTAAAGCATTAATTAACCCCAGACCTTCAACCGCCCCCCATGCCCGAAACCAGCAGCCCAAATCGTAATCGCTGAACGCTAATTCTACTTGGAGGTTCATGGGTAGTTATAAGTGGGGCTATAAGTCCCCTAATATGGTTAGAATTATAGTTACGCTACTTATACCTCCTCTTATAACTACCCATGAACTGGCCCATGAACCTCCAAGTAACAGCGAGCGGCATAAGCCCGTGCCCCAGGCATTAGCTGCAAGATGCCGATGCTTTGGACGCTGCAAGCGGACAAGACCAAGAAGGACTTGTAGGGACCTGAATAATTACCTGTACGGGGGTTCCCAACTATGATTATACAGAATAACAGTACTGTCAGTTTGAGGGGAACGCCACCGACATCGCACCGAAAGACCCACTGTATACGGACCATAGGGCTTGCATTGTATATCTTGTATATATATATATACACACACACGTACATACATACATACATACATACATACACGTTATATTTTGCATTTAAACCTGGCCTAATCACACCGTCCGCAGGGCATCGTCAATTCCGAAGTCGTCCCGGGCCAGAACATCAGTGCGGCGCTCATGCTTTGTGTTCTTTAGGGATCCGAGGGTTCCTTTAAAGGGGTCTGTAAGGATTCTATAGGGTTCCTAGGGTTCTACAAGGGTTACTATGGGGGATCTACAAGGGTAATTTTATATAGGGGCCTAATAGTTACCTACTGTATACTGTTTGGGGGCTCCTCACTTTCAGTATGGTATAATGGGCCCCAAAACTCTCTTCTAACCATGAAGGCACCACCTTTCGTGGCACGGTCCCAGGTTGCAGGGCTCAGTGTGAAAATGCGGGAACAGGGTTTCATGTTTCGCGTGGTGCAGTACGTCTGCCATGAGCAGCTCAAAAACCCAGAGCTTGGATCTGACAATCTGATCCCCAGCTCCTCAGCTTCAAAAAAACCAAAACTGATCTGGTAAACAAAACCGAACAATCGCAGCAGTCTAAACCCGCCCGAAGAACGTGATGATTTGTATGAATGCTAGTAGAAGGAATCATCATCTTCGTCTGACAAAAGTGGAATGGTACCCTAAACCCTAAACCCTAAGATTGGTACTTAGAACCAAGGCTTTCCAGTGAATCCACTGTCGCCCTACGATGTTCTGAGCCTCGGCGGCATCGGTTGCTGGGGTTCAGGGTTTAGGGTTGGAGTCTAGGGTTTAGGGCGTATCGCGTCGGGTTTAGGGTTTAGAGCGTATAGGGTTTAGGGATTGGAGTCAATGTCAATGGTGTTCATAAATCTGGAACCCCTAACTTATTGCTGTGTCGTGTTCAATCCTGGTGCTCCCGAACCCCCACATCACCAGGTCCTCCTCACCACCGAAGCCTGCACACCAAACAGCCCCCAAGGACTGATCCACACCCACCTTGATATGACGCTCCTTTGAGCTCAGCTACAGCCTTCTCTAGCCCGAATCCGACTTAAAGAACCTTAAACCCTAAAGCCTGGCGCCCTCCTCTGCAGGCTGACCTATCCTGTCAGCGTGCCTCACGACAAGATGGACTTCAAGCTCCAGATTCTCTCCTCGGTCGCCGCCGATGGCCGGGTCCTTGTATTCTGGGGTCCTTATAATAAGGGTCCCACTATTTACCGAAAAATATTAAAGTCCCCTATTTTCGGAAACTCCCAAATGCCTGCTTTACAAAGTGGTGTGTCTGGCTTCGGGCTTTCGGCCTGGTTTCGGGTTTAGGGGGTTCAGGGCTTAGCTGAGCGCTTGCGGGGTTTAGGTCGGGCGTGTGTTGTTTTTTTTTTTTTTTTGGGGGGGGGGGGGGGGGGGGGGGTTGGGTTTAGGCGTCTGAGGTTTTGATCTTATGCCGAGATTGACAAGAGATCCGCAGGATTGTCGGCCATGGGGCTTTTGAAGGCGTCTTACTGAAGCAGATCTGAAATCGGAGTCTTACGCGGGATCCTACGATTCAGGGTGCTAGGGTTTAGAGTTTGGGTTTAGGGCTTAAGGTTTAGGGTTAGTTTAGAGGATTCTATGGCCTATATTCTAGGTTCAGTGGCATGTCTAAGGTTTTGAACAGTAGGTTCTTCAGCTTTTGTGCGGGAGGCTGCTGGCGGCCCGTAAAACCAAAAACGCGCAAGAGATTAAAACCTTCGAACCCTGAATCTCTCCAACTTCTCCCCAACCCTGAACCCTAAACCCCAAACCCTAACCCTTCCTTCAGAAATCCGGTGCATGCCGAGCAGGGCAGTAGGATGGTATTTTTTGTTCTGCCACGAC